CTTTATCAGTGCCTGGACTAGCAGGACTGTAAATCAGTTACACACACAAAGTTTTCTTGCTGTTGCTAGCCCAGTTTCACCTTGGTATTCACCTAGCTTTGTAAGAAGTAGGTGCTCTCTCAGCATGAGAAAACAAAAATCTATCTTACAGTCCAGGCAGGAGTAAAGCAGAGAATACAAACTTGCCCCACTTCAAAGCACAAGGCGTATCTTTCACTAACTAAACAGCAATCCCAGCAGGAGTAACAATGGAAGCTTTCTTCCCTATTATTGTTTGAAACAATCACAAGCTATTTGTTCATATTAATTAGTTTATATCTAGTGTTAGGCAGCCTTGATTAGAAAAATGCTCTTTGTTACTAAATGAATAGAGTAACAAACAAAACCAAAAGCTTTTTTAAAAAATTGTTGTTTTGGCCTTAGAAAAGGATTTTCAGGCCTTACGCACTTGAATGTGGGTTTATCTTTACACAGGTCCCTGAATTCACACTAAAAGAATGCAAGTTAATGTGCCAGACAATACCAGGCTAAGCTGACTGAGTGAACTGCTTATTATTCTTTGCACAAGGGGATGACATATTTAAATTATTTTTCCCTTCTCTGAACCTGGGGAAAACTGATAATAAGAGAGAAGATATGAATACAAGTTTGGAGGTAAGGGAGAGTCAGCCCTGAACTAAAATTTGAAAAAATTACATATGATTAGTTGCCATGTAATCATGAGGCCCATCACTGACCAGCGGCTCCGGGGAACCAAATAACCCAAAGATCTGCATCTCTGCAGAATAGTCAGCTACCTTCCTCTATGACCTCATACCAGAGTTTATAGCTGACTCCATCCAAGTAGGTTTAATTCCCCAACCATCAGAGGCTACAACTCTTCCCAACATATGGTGAAAATAAAGGGATTCATCTACACTGGTTGAGATTAATTAACAAACATGCTCAATAGAATTCTCAAAAGCCAGGGCCTTAGCCTAGGTTGAAGATTCCAAAGCTGGGATAACCACTAAACTACAAAGGTTTCTTTAAGAACAATGTTAAATTCCTTAAATGGTTTGCAAAATCTCCAACTTTATAACTAACTTATTTATGCTAATTCTAGCATTTGCCGATTTCTGTAGTGTAAATACTCCACAATGGCTGATTTTAATCTACCAGCATTAAGTCAATCAGCTCACAAAAATCCTGAAAATTTAACAATCCACCCCTGTGAGCTGGTAGCAGTGACTACAAAGATTTCACAGTTCACCTCTCCATGCCCCACTATACTGCAACCATCCTAAACTAAATTCTTCATTCTGTGCTCGCTCTCTCTTGCCTTGGGACATTTGACACTCACATAAACTTTTTCTTTTTCTTTATCAAAATAACTCATATTCATTAGTTCCCAACCTGGTAGTCTTTCCTCAAGAAACTTGCCAGATCCTCCAAGTCTTTTCTGGTTGCTCACCTTTATGCCTAGAACACCCATACTTCCTGTATTTTGCATTTCTGCATTCGTGACACAGTGTTATGATTTTGTTTCCTTATTTGTATATCTCCCGCTACATCTATAAACTTTGCAGGGCAAAAACCTTGATTCTCTTATTTGTTCTTCAACTTCCAGGCCCACTACAGGGCACACAGAACAACAGAAATAATGCTTGCTAACACGGTTTGAGCAATATGTGCCAGACACTGTTCTAAGTTTTAGACAGAGTATTTCATTTCATTCTTAAAACAATCCTATGTTGGCTTAATTCTTGCTATGCTCATTTTGTAGGTGAAGAAATGGAGGCACTGAGATGATGAACACCTTCCCTTCAGGCTCAGTGAATAAATAATTGCTGGAGCCAGGATTTCACCTCAGGCAATGTGACTGGAGAACCCATGTGTACTCTTCAAGAAACCAGTGTTCCTTTACCAGTTTTTTTTTTCCTTGTTAGTGACCCTTACAGAGAGATTTTTAATTAAATTTAAATTCTCCTTAATGAGAAATATTAAATATTAAAAAACAAGATTTTGTTGGGTAGATTTAAGCTTTGGAGGGATTTTTCATCTCCCAAGATCCAATTGTTGCCCCCTTGAGGCAACATCATTCTACGGAGAATGTATGTTCTAAACCAGCAGTCCCCAACCTTTTTGGCATCAGGGAAGTTTCATGGAAGATCATTTTTCCACAAGCGAGGCGGTTGCAGCAGGGGGGCGATCTTCAGGCATTAGATTCTCATAAAGAACGTGCAACCTAGATCCCTCACATGCACAGTTCACAAAAGCGTTCATGCTCCTGTGAGGATCTAAAGCCTCTGCTGAACTGACAAAAGGCAGAGCTCCACTAGCCAGCTGCTCACCTCCTGGGTGAGGCCGGGTATCTAACAGGCCACAGACCTGTACGGGTCCACAGTCTCAGGGGTTGGGGACCCCTATTCCAGATATCTCACTATGCATTTTCATTAATGTGCCATACGTTTGTACCTAAAAAACATGTATTCTTGTTTTACAGTTTTAATGATACTTTCCTGTAAGTATTATTCTGCATCTTACTTTTTTCCTTTCCATAAGATACCTTGGAGCAACATATAGCTGTGTAGATAGCCTCGCTTTCTAACAGTTGAATGGTATTTCAATCATATCCACTTACTTGAATTTATTAAGTCTTTCCACTATTGGATATTCATAGTTTTATACTTCCTGGTTTTCAATCAATGCTTCAGTGATTACCTTTATATACTCCTTAGACTCATGTGTGAGCATTTTTCTAATGAAGATACCAAGAAGAGAGCGGGGTATGTGCAAAGATATATTATTTTGAAAGTCACTGTCAAATTACCCTCCAGAGTGACTGGACCAATTTATTTTCCCCCAGAGAATTTACAAGCGTACACACTTCCCGCAGTGTTTATATAAAGTACATCTTCTTTCTATCCTGGGTGGCATTTATATTACTCATCAGCTGATAGTAGCTTGTGTAACAGGAAAGATGTATAGATAAAATGATGCTGTTGAAATTGCTGACAAATGACAACAGCTAGGATGCTGAAATGCCTTGTCCAGAAAATCTGTACTAGAGTCTAACAGGATTCACAAAAGGCCAAGAATAGTTACAACATGGGAAGAGCCGCAGTGGACTTTGAAATAGTGACCTTCTGCAACAGGCACCAAATCTCTACCCATTTTTTAAGTCTCTCTGGCACCAAAAAGATTATTGAGGGTAGAAGAAAGAAACCAAACAGGAAAAGCAAATAAAACATTGAAAGGCCAATGGTCCATTTATCAGAAAGAGAAATACACTAGTGACAATAACACTAAATCATCCCAGAAAATAATACTAAAACCTTTAAAGAACAGCAAGTGCTTTATCCATATGATAAAATTCCAAGGTCTTTTAGAGGAAAAAAAGTACTTATAGTAAATTAAATAAAAATGCCCCCTTTTCCCTCTCTTTTTTCTTCTTCTTTCACAAACACATACACCCCTACATACAAAATAAAATGGCCTGCAGAATGATACAGAAAAAAAGTGTGAAACAACATTCTGCATCATCAAGACTCAAATTTCAATCAATATGGCTTCTTCTTGAAGTTATACTTTTTTCTTTAATCTTGGCCAAAAAATGATTGTCATGAATGAGAGGGAAGTTCACACTAGAAAAGGGAAGGGAAGGCCAAATGAGAAACAACATTTGCTGAGAGCCTACTGTGTATTTCCCATATATTCTATCATTTAATCCACATAACTATCATGTGAGGAATGGCATGAGAGAAAATTGAAGCTGAGAGAGGTTAGCTCTTTATCTAGCAATCAGAGGAACAGGGATGTGAACTAAAGTCTACTGACTCCAAAGTCTGCATCTACATTATACCACGCTGCCTGCTGAACCTGAAAGAGTCCAATGAATACTTGAATAGATCGGGTTGTAAAACACTCTGAACTAGGACAATGATCCTGCTATATTACTGCTCTTCACTGGACAGAAGAATGATTGCTGTTCAGAAATTTCTAGAATTGCAATTTGTTTTCAAAGTTCCTAGAACAGGTCGAGGCAAAGTAATAATTATAGGCGTAAGACAATGAGACAGCACTCAGAAAACTTGCTATAAGATTAGATCTGTTCTGAAATATTATGTTAAATCCAAGAGAGGAAAAGCAGCAAGATTTACTATTAACTTAACCTGATATAGAGTTTGATATCTATACTAACAGGAAAGCATTGAAAAACCAAGCCCCCTAAGAACAGAAGCCAGTTCACTAAAATCACTTGTTCATTGTTCCAGTTGCTTTCTGAACTAAATGGCACCTAACTCACAAAAGCACCATTATCCAAATACTCACCAAGTGATAATGAGAGACAGAGATACAAGGGGGATTAAAAAAAAACCAGAATTCATTTATAAAAAATTGTGTATTTATTCTTACATATTTAAACCTGCAAAATACTCTCTGTTTGATGCAATACGCCTATGGAGATGCTTTTTCCACTGCTTGAGACAGTTTTTGAACTCATCAATTTTACTGCCTTTTAATATTTCTGCCGTTTTTTGTTTCACTTATTCTACATCTGAAAAATGTTTCCCTTTGAGAACTTTTATCATCGGGGAAACAAAAAAGGTAACTCAGGGTGAGATGAGGTAAATAGGTGAGGTGGAGCACAGCGGTCACCCATTTTTAGTCAAAAACTGCTGAACGCTCAGCATGATGTGGGCAGATATACTTATAAACCACCCATCATGAAATGGGCAAACACATTGAAAAAAATCTCCAAAAAAAATTCACTGAAGTCAAACACAGCTTCTCACAACAATGCTAGCTGGTACACTGATGTCAGTGGGTTCTAGAACACTTACCTAATGGGGGAAGCCTGTACTACAAGGGGCCCACCCTCCAAAAAGTAATTCTGGGTGTTCTTGGGTCCCCCCTCATATATGATCCCTAGGGTCAAACATACTTTCTTACACTCAATTTAAATATTGGACAAAATTATGATTAGTTCAAACCTCTGCTACTGTGAAATCACTCACCTGGGGCTCTGAAATTGCAGGAGTGGAAGTAGAGGCAGCGGCCATGACAGCTCTGCAGCTGTGGGTAGTACTCAGGCCCCAGGACTATGGCGCAGGACACAAGAGTCAAATTTTGGGGGTTGCCGATCAGATCGAGGTCATGCTAGGAGAAACTGTGTACCTGGAAAAGAAGGGGAAAACCAACATTTAACATAAGAGGACTAGCACATGGGAGTGAAGTACCATTGCCCAGATGGGGCAAAAATTCCTACACCGAGTGTCAAACACTAGCTTAATGAAAACAGGAACCCAGAAGTGAAGATCTAACATCTAGAAGACATGACTTCTCTACCATTTATCCAAAAGATGCTAAGTTGATGCATTCTCATGGGTTTGAATCCAACTGTGTGTGCCCTAGATATTTGGGGGAGATAATTTCAAATGAGCCAGGAGGAGAAGCTATCTGTTATTAAACAATAAAAGAAATAGATGATCCAAAATTGACAGATGACGATTTGTGTACAAAGGGCAAAAAGAATACAGCAGTCTTCCTTTATCCAAGAAGAATACCTTCCGAGACCCAAGATCTGTAGTGCATATTTGAAAATGTGGATTATACTGAACTATCTGAACAGAAACAGAAACAGAAACAGAAATACTGACTGATGGGCAGGTAGAATAAATAGCACGGAAACGAGGGACAAAGGAATAATTCATGTTGATAGCATGAGATTTTATCACGCTACTCAGAACGATGCTAATTTAAAACTTATGAATTATTTCTGGGATTGTTCATTTAATATTTTTGGACTCAGGTTGACTACAGATAACCAAAACTGGGAAAAGTGAAATCTCAGATAAGGGTAGACTACTGTAATACCATCAAGTGGTTATAGAGAGCATCCAGTTCAACTCGATCCGTTAGCATATTAAAAAAAAAAAATGAGGCTTGGAGAAAGGACTAGAATCATACATTTAGTGACTGGTAGACCCAGGACTACAGCACTAACCCCAATTCCCAGTCCAGCATGAGCCATAAAGTGAGTATGTTCCATGCTTACATTTTCTCTAGGAATTTAGCTACCACTTTCAAGATTAAAGAAAGGCAAGCCATCTCAATACTACGGGAGTCAGTCACAAGAATGAGTCACTTACTCAGGTATGTAAGGAGCTTGGTAAATCAGACTTGCACAACATTTCTAAAATCCTTTTGACATCCTCAAAGAGAGGATGCCAAATCAGCACAAAGTACAACCAAATCTTCTCTTGTTAATATATTCATTAAGAAAACTCAGAAAGATGCTAAATTCCCTAAAGTAAAGCATGGTCCTAGCTCTTAGAGCAATCTTAAAATAATTGCAAAGACTGATGCAATTGTTTCCATACTGCAGTTTATTCCAGAAAGGAAAAATTGTTCATCTTAAAACTTTCCTTTTAATTTTTTTTTTCTTTTTCTATTTCTTTTTTTTTTTTTGAGTTGAAGTCTCACTCTGTCACCCAGGCTGGAGTGCAGTGGCATGCTCACAGCTACTGCAGCCTCGACCTGCTAGGTTCATGTGATCCTTCTGCCTCAGCCTTCCAAATAGCTGGAATTACAGGTGTGTGCCACCATGCCCAGTTAATTCTTCTTGATTTATTGTAGAGACGAGGTCTCGCCAAGTGTCCCAGGCTGGTCTCAAACCCCTGTGTTCAAGCGATCTTCTCGCCTCTGCCTCCCAAAGTGCTTTTTTTTAAAAAAAAATTTTACATTCAGAGATATACATGCATATTCACTACATAGATACACTGTGTAGTGGTGGTGATTGAGCCTCAGGTGGCCCATTCCCCAGATTGTGAACACTGTGCCCTATAGTTTCTGATCTGTAATCCCCATTCTCCTTTGTTGGTGTCCCCAATGTCTATTATTTCCATCTTTGTGACCATTTAGCTCCTATATATGAGTGAGAACATGTGGTATTTGGTTTTCTGAGACAGTTCACTTAGGAAGATGATCTCCAGCTCTGTCCATGTTGCTGCAAAGGACATGATTTCATTCTTTTCTTATGCCTGCATAGTATTCCATGATGTATATATACCACATTTTCTCTATACACTGATCGGCTGATGGGCATTTAAGTTGATTCCACATTTTTGCAATTATGACTTGTGCTGCAATAAACATGTGGGTGCAGGTGTCTTTTTTATATAACAACCTCTGTTCCTTAGGGTAGATACCTAGTAGTGGAACTGCTGGATCAAGTGGTAGATCTACTTTTAGTTCTTTGAGTAATCTCCATACCACTTTCCATAGAGACTGAGTTAATTTACACTCCCATCAACAGTGTATATGTGTTCCCTTTTCTCCACATCCATGCCAGCATCTATTGTTTTTTGATTTTTTTTTTTTAATGGCCATTCTGACTGGTGTGAAGTGGTATCTCATCGTGATTTTAATCTGCACCCCTCTGATTATGAGTGATGTTGAGAACTTTTCATCATCTTAAAAACTTTAAAAAATTATATCTATGAAATCTATTTACTTCCCAACTTACACACAGAAATCTGCACAAATCATGGGGGAACTAGACAAAACAAAAAAGTCAATATCCTAAGTAATAATGACATTCCATCTCTAGCTGAGTAAGCTGCTTCAGTTTGACAGACTAGCCCCCTGCCTTACCAGAGCCCCAGAATGTCAACTACAAAGTTGTGCAGGACTTAAAAAAAAAAATACACCTCTCTGAACTCCTCTAAGTACTTGGATACCTGTCCTGCAAGTCTTCCAACTTGCCATCAACTTAATTCTCCATCTCCTTCACCTGAGCTCCAAAACTGTTTTCTAGTCACATAAAACCACAAAGCATGTGGGTTTGCCCCACTTACATCAGGTTCTGCAGCTGCCCTTGGGGCATTACTGTTGCCTCTTCTCTTCTTCCCTAATTGTCTCCCCTTTCTATTTTCCTAGACATCTCTTCTAATCTATATTGCTCTTATCAAAACCATAAAATAATCTCTAATTCCTCTCACGTGCAAAAAATGAACTTTGCCATCTGTTTAGTCACTGGACCATTCCTCCATTCCTTACAGTCATTGGGTATGAGTTACCGCAATATCTTTCCCTATAACTCAAATCACATATATAAAATATAATTACCAAATAAGAAAGCTACATAGGCTCATTTCTCAGTGCCAGATTACCAAAGAAATGATCAGTTGATTATAAAAACTATCCCGAATCAGTTCTAGAAACTATAGATGGATCCCGACTATTGCTTAAACTTTCAGAAATCTATACTGAAAAGAATCAACACAGGAGACTGACAAAAGGACTAATACATAATAACCCCTTCATGTGAAACTGCAACTGCATAGACAGAAAATAAGCAAAAGAGAACCCAATAAACGTATAATGATACCCCTAGTTCAAAGGGATGGGGGCTGAGGGAATCAAGCCAGAGGAGAGATGGGGTACATTTAAAATACACTAACTCCTTTAAAAGGGTTCCTGGCTCCAGAAGCCAACTGAGCAAGTATCCTTTGGCTTCATTTACTTCTGATTACATGTGACCATGATGACTGCCACAAAAAACATGTGGAGAAAAAAAAAACACTACCAACTGGCATCTGGCAAGGGCAACCATGCCAAGTAACAATAAACTTGCTAATTACTACGTGCCACACCAAATACCTAAAAGAAAGTCTCAGGTTTGAGGCAAATTTCCCTTTGATTACTTCTGGAGCTGATACTGGCTCTCTCCCCAGGCCTCACAGGAAAAAGAATGTATAATTGGTAAATTAATCTACTACAAATTTAACCTTTCTCCTTTGTTTGGACTTGAGTCAAACAGTGAGTCATGTAAGTCTCTTGAAAGAACACAGGGCAATACCCAGTACTAAATATGCATAGGATTCTCTGAGGATAAGCAAAGGAGAAAAATCTAAATCCACCAGGCCAATGAAACATATCATGATTCAAAAAGGAGGGAGAACTCTAGAATCAGAACAAATATTTACTCAAGAAATAGGTGTACTACACAAAAAAGAAAACTTTATAAAATTTCTAGTTCATGATCTTAAAATTCCTAAGGACACAGCGGAATCTTTGAATACAGAGCAGGTAGTCACGGAAAGAAATGTAAAATCAGAAAAGAGTTTGCACTATCCAAAAAAGAGAATCTGAATTATGAACTTGAATGAAAGCAATCAATGAAGCCGAAGGTAGAATATAAAAATATAGTAAAAAGTAAAGTTATCAATGCAGAAGATAAGCCAGACCTTCCAGGGGGAGAAAAGCTAAATGAATAAAGATGTTAAAGTCTTCATCCCCAAAAGAGAATAGATAAACAAGAAGTGCTAAAGGAGAAAAGAAGAAACAATCAAAGCTGAAACCAGGAAAGGATAAATTTGGGGAGTATATGCTTTTTTTAACTATATGTGGGGTGCAAGTTTGGACCTCCGACTGGCCCTCACTTCCCCTGGTTTAGGACCCAGTACCCTTTGTGATGCTACATGCCCCTTTCCTCCTTCCCTCCCTTGGCAATGTCCATCAATTGCCGATCCCTCTCTTGTCCTACTGTGATTAATGTTCAGGTCCCACTTATGAGTGACAGCATGTGGCAGTTCTTTGTATCTGTGATAGATCACTAAGTATGGTGGTCTCCAACTCCATCCAATTCACCATGAATTCCATGATTTTGTTCTTCTTTATGGCTGCATAATACTCCATTATATATATATATCACATTTTCTTTTGATGGACAGTGGAGTTGGTTCCATGCTTTTGCTATTGTGAATAGTGCAGCTATAAACTATGTGTGTAGGTGTCTTTTTTATACAACAATTTATGCTCAAAATTTTTAAAACATATTACAGATATACAACAATTTAGATCAAATGGGGAAATATTTCAGACTTATTCTTCCGAGAGCTCTATAATCTGGCTGAACCCCGTATCTCAAGGAACAAAATGAGATACAGGAAGGCCAGAGCTGTAGTTTGCATTTCTTAGTATGGGTTCCCACTATCAGAGTTAAATAGCATCTGAAGTCAGTATTATACCACCTAAGACCTGAGTCTGAAAGATTTTTCTCTCTGGAATCTTAGCAGATGAAAAGACCTAACAATAGCAACATCAAAAAGAAGAGACTGCGCTTGTGGAAATAAAAACAGGATGCTTAAAACTGCTAAGTCATAATTCTAAGAAAG